GTGGCTGAGTCAGGATTTGAACTCAGAGCTGTCTTCAGAGGTGCTTGGCTCTCTTGTGGAACCACAATAGGGTGACAAAAGAACTTGGCCATACAGAATTCCTCGTTCAAAAAACAAACCAATAGAAACAACTCCCCACAACGCAGCTCTTTTTATTATACTTTGCAGTCCATTCATCCTTTGTTTTTATACTGAGGTCCCTGAGCAGCAATTACCAAATGAAACGAGGAGCATTTTGCACTCCTTATGGTAGGTGTACATTCCCTTCAAGATTTCCAAGGATGAACGTTTGTAATTCTCCTTTTATGCCACAGGGTTCTTGCCATACAAGGAAGGAGGCCTGAGGGGCAGGGTCCTGAAGTTTGGGAATACAGGCGGGTAACTGTTTTTGTGCCACACAGGAACGTGTGAGGAAGGACATCAAGGACAGAAGGACTGTTTCTGGGTCTGCTGTAATTGAAGTTTTAATGTCTATGTAGAACAGTTAGGAACTTTACAAAATAAAAATTAAAAAAAAAAAAACACACAGAATCTCATCCAACAGTCTGGCCCAGAATTGGCCGAGCTTCATTCAATTTATCCATTTCAGAAGATGAAAGGCTGCGTTGTCTGCCAGGATTTAGCGTCCAGTCTCAGGGAATCATTGTGTTTCTAATCTGATGTTTGGGCCATGACGCCATCCCCTCTGCCTGCCGGTCGAGGTCAGTTCTTTTTTTTTTTTTTTTTTTTTGTTATGTTGTTAAAAGGCCCTGGCCATGGACTGGTTTCAAAGAAGCCTTTGGCTCCATAGGGAACCCAGCTAACAGGTCTTTCGTTTTATTTTATTCCTTTTGGAATTTAGAGGGGCATTCATTCCTCGTAGAAGAGGGCTACGGTAATTTCCAATTTATTAAAAACAGTCACACCAAAAAAAATTAGGAGTATGGAATGTTCTAGATCTTGATTGGAGTGATGGTTCTATGAATAGATGTGTTTGTCAAAGCTTATCCAATGGTATACTTAAGGTTTGAGCATTTTTACCTCAATTTAAAGGGCATTAGAGGGGGAAAAGTATGGAAACCAGAGTGGTTTGTTCTTATTTTTTTAAGAGTAAGAACAGTTAATTATAGCACCTGTCTGAGGCTGGGTAAACCCAGAATTACTCTCAAGTAATCACTTCTAATTCTCTAGATTTCTTGAATCCCAGATCAAGGTATCTCCTTGCGGGAGGCTTAAATTCATTCCCTCTAATTTGTGTTCTGCATTCCTTTGAAAGCGGCCATTCTAAGGCCACATAAGGATAACTGATATTTATCCCTATAAATAGTTAGTGTCAGAAAGGTAATCTTTATCTTTGAGTCTCTTTATTATGCCACATTGGATTTACAATTAAATAAAGGTAGAAAATCTACCTGGGAGAGGGGGCAGTGACTGCACTTAGTGCCTTTTTCCTGCAGCTTGCAAGGAACATGAAGTGTGGAGATAAGAAATATGGCTTTAAAATAAAAGATCTTTGGTTGCAATCGTTCATCATGCCTCCGATACAGATTTCCAGTCTTAGATATAAATATTTCAGGATCAAGATGCTTTCATCTTTCTCTGCCTTGCAAGAAGGGAAGATTGGAAACAATCTTCCTTAAAGTAAGCAGCTTTAATCATTGTTTCTAAATCAGCTGAACTGTGTTGGAAAAAAAGAAGATGTAAGAATCCTATAATCCCTGGTTTAGTGGTAATGAAATTGTCCAGGCTGAGAAGGGAACAGATGGATTTTGATTAATTTCTACTAAGACCAGCAAGTATCAACCTCAATATTCTTTATAAACTTGTCAGGGTAAATGTTTTATACTCGTAAGAGGATGAAGAAAAAAAAAGACATAAAATAAACATGATTTATAACTGGGTTATGAATAGTTAAGAGAGATATACTTAAAAAACACAATCCTCATCAACATGTCAAAATTCAGAGTCACTGAATCAGGGCAATTTTTTTTCAGAGACCTTTCAGATTTAATTTCTTAAAAAATGGAAGAGTTTGTTTTTGTCGTTGTTTTCAAGAGAGGACCCTTTGCCCTAGGTATCCATTGAAGTGGGCCATCACCTATCACGGGCTTAACAGTGAGAATGCAAACAAGACTCACAGAGCTGAGAAGCTGTACCTCAGATTCGACATTTATGATTCCAGGATGATAATTGGAAACAAAGATGAACTTTACTGAGACATAATTTGGAATGAACTTAGACAATTCAGTTGCCACAGTTCATTAGTTTTATGGTTGGTATTCAGGGTGCTGAGGGGCAGATTTTCAGCTTCCCCTGTCCTTTTAGGGACCTCCCCACTTCCCAAGCCTGTCAAAGAATAGACTGGGAAGGGGGATCAGAGGGATCCAGGGGCTTAGAGTTTTAAATCTGCAATTACCTTGAAATTAGAACTGAAGATTCAAAACAGGCACTAAGAGAATCTGAAGCGTCGTTGGTGCCACATTACGCAGGGTGTGAGGCGTGAAGCCCCAAAAGAAAATCAATAACTGTTTGTTTGTTTTCCATTTAAAAATACTTCTGCTGCCTGGCTTGTCTTTTTCCCAGGATGGCTTCGCATCCATAGCACTTCCTTCCGCCTGGTCTCAGAGATGCTCACAGACCAAGAGCTGCTTGAGCAAGTAATATAAGGATTTTATATTTATAAATTTTATATTTTATATATTTATAAATGTTATATTTATATAGCTATAAGGATGATTTCAAGATCATCAATACTTAACAGATTGCCAATTAAAGGTAGGATTCTCCATCAAAACATGCTCGGTTCTCATTTAAAAACAAAACAAAAACCGCCAACTCGCTTTCCAATACTAGAAGCAAAACTGTGATCTGAGAATATATCAAAAATGTCCCCTCTTTCCCAGCTTTGGAATGATCTATTTACACAGGAGAAAATGAGGGTTATTAACGAAGTATGTGATTGTTGTGCCGTCAGCCCCTGGAATGTGGTGAGTAGTAAATGAATTGGGCATTAGTTTAACACTAGATCCTCCATTTTTCTTCCTTTATTATCTTGTCATCATAGCGGTGACTTGGAAACAGGATCTGCTTTAAAGACAAGTGTGCTGGGTCCACTGTAATGGGCACAGCCTGTTTGGGAAATCTGACCCGAGGATCACGATCTTAACCTGATAGTATCGTGCCTTCCTCGAAGTTTCTACTTTTGGTCTGTTAGGTATGCAGGTAGAAGGGACAGCAGCTGTCACCGTGCTGGCAGAAAACAAGCAGGGCTGACTTCTCCATTATGTGTAGCAGGTACAATGCCTAGCGCCTGTGACACTTTTAGGAACCCATGAGAATGTTCTACTTTCTTTAAAATTTTTTTTTAATGTTTATTTATTTTTGAGAGAGAGCTAGAACATGAGTTGAGGAGGAGCGGAGAGAGAGAGGGAGACCCAGAATCCGAAGCAGGCTCCAGGCTCCAAGCTGTCAGCCAGAGCCTGATACAGGGCTCGAACCCCTGAACCATGAGATCATGACCTGAGCTGACGTCAGAAGCTTAACTGACTGAGCCACCCAGGCGCCCCTCTACTTTATTTTAAAATCAGAGGAAAGGGGTATCTGGGTGGCTCAGTCATTTGAGCATCTGACTCTTGATTCCAGCTTAGGTCATGATCCCAGGGTCTTGGAATCAAGCCCTGCATTGGGCTCCATGCTGAGCATGCTTAGGATTCTCTCTCTCCCTCTCCTTCTGCTTCTCCCCTGCCCGTGCGTGTGTGCACGCTCTCTCTTTCCTCAAAAATAAAAGTAAGTAATAAATAATAAATAAAATGAGAAGAGAAAAAAGTAGATATAATGCCACCTGGATTAGATTCATCTTTTTACCAATGCAGTCAGTCATAAAATATACTTTTTAATAGTTTTTTACAGAGGAATGTGTTTCTGAAAACAGAAATGCCAAGGGCCCACGAAAGTCATCATATGGACCTACAGCCTGATGACAAATTCAAAGATTTTAACTGAAGATACTGAAGCAAAGGGGCTCTTTGCAAAGGTGCTGTTTGGCTTCCGAAAACCAACAAGGTGAAGCACCCAAGTACTAACAACGTGGGAATTATCATCCCCTCGGGGCCTGAATTCACAAAGGCAGGTGACCAGTGGCCAAACCCAACCAGAAGCCAGGGCGAAAGAAGTTCAGTGGGTCATTCCCTGTAGGTGAGCTGGTAAGACACACAGCAGAGAGCTGGGCAGATAAGAGCAGAAATTGGTTTGGGGACTGGAGATGGGGTTGTCAACAAAGAAAAACCACTACTAGGCCCCCCCCATTCCAACCCCTCCCTGCATCTAGACTTTTTAAGTGCGTGTAACTCTCGTCGTTGTGTAGGATTAACAGGATCTATGCATGAGTTTCTTTTTTTTTAATGTTTTATTTATTTCTAGGAGAGAGAGAGACAGCGTGAGCAGGGGAGGGTCAGAGAGAGAGGGAGTCACAGACTCTGAAACAGGCTCCAGGCTCTCAGCTGGCAGTCAGCACAGAGCCCGACGCGGGGCTCGAACCCACGAACCGCGAGATCATGACCTAAGCGAAAGTCGGACGCTTAACCGACTAAGCCACCCAGGCGCCCCTATGCATGAGTTTTAAAAAAGGAGGAACTTACTTCCTGCTTCAGGCAAGTGACCGAACCTTTCCTTTTCATTTGCTTTATTTTGGAAGCATCTGTCTTTTAGGTCTTACGTTTTATATCCCTTCACAATCAGGGCTCAACCTCCTGTTCTAGCCCATCGAGGGGACAGTTGAGAGAAGTCAGACTGCCTGGCCAGATGGGATATCACATGGCTAGCCCACCTCCCTGTGCCTCAGTTTCTTTATCTGTAAAAGTACCATAATAGTAGTACATGCTTCAGAGGGCAGGGAAGATTAAAGGAAAGAATAGTAGCAGATATGTATCTAGTGCTTATTGTGAGTGGAGCAGTATTCTAAATACTTTATGTATATTTGTTAATTTTTACCACACACAGAAAACCAAAGATTAAAACATGAAGGGAGACCAATTTGCGATGCTATTATTTGCATATCTGCATGCAGCTGTGCTTGAAGGTAAACTGCCACTCAAGATTTCATATATGTGAATCAATAAATGTTTCCTAGTTTTTTGGAGGGGCTCTAAGCCAGTCAAATTGAATTTCTATCCCTTGTAACCAGGACACTTCCAATAAAGTGGATGCTCTACAGATACACATATATGTATACACACTTATATATATCGTATATTCAATAATATATACAATATTTATATACATAAATATATGTTCATTAGCTAAATCAATCCGGAGGAAAATAATAGAATACGTAATGTCTCTAAATTTTGGGGAATGCTGCTATAGAAACTCTCCCGTTAAGAGAACTAATGAAAATGACCTCAAATTTGTTCTGTGCTTACAGTGCCAGGAGACTGTGTGTATTTGATTTGAAGTAGTCCTCACAACCACGCTATGAGGGCACTACTAATAATGCCCACTTTATAGAGGCAGGATATGAAGCACCAGAGAGCTGGAATAACTTCCCCAAAGTCAATTAGCCAATGAGTTGATGGAGCTAGAATTCAAACCCAAAGCCCATCCTCTTTTTTTAATAATAAGCTTCCTCCGCCTGTTGCACTCAGAATGCAAGGATGGGCCGACCATGGGTTTGAGCTGGTATGGTTTTTGCCATCTTCTTTGGGTCCATCAGAGAAGGCTGGGCGAACCACAAGAACAAGATAAAGGATGATGGGGTCAGAATTGTGGCGATGCACACAGCTCATAATAATAAACAAACTCTCTGCATCAGCTTTGAAAAGGCAACCATTGCCCCTGCAGAGTAACTGAATGGACAGAGGCTTTCCTCTACCTGTTGCCACACACGGTGTGTGCATTACTAGCAAAGCTTTCCGCGTTTACTTCTGCAGCAAACCAATAGAGCAACTGTCTTACTGTGTTAGGTGCTTTTGCAACAACAGAAGCGTCTGAAGTGGCACCCGCTGGCCCAGATCCAGAAGTGAATGCCTTCCTAATGACTCCTATCTGTTAACAAGATTTCTGCCCTTATTGAAACAAAAGGCAGATCTAACCGGTGAGTGGAGGTGGGCAGATGGTGGGGGAGTATTTCCTGGGCTCAGAGCTACAGCCCCTCACTGCTCCCAGAGGGGACATAGGGTAGGGGTGGGGAGCTGGTGAGACTTGAGGCTCACTCTGGCAGGCTGAAGAACCTGACCTTTGTCATGTCCTTCAGATCAGGAATGAAGAATGGAGGAACATCCTTAGACCTTTTCTAGCCCAAGATTCCCATCTCTTGGGGCTAATATCAAATGATTGTTAAACTTTCTCTGACCTTCCTGAACTCAACTCCTTTCTCCTTCCTCTGTGCTTCCAGAGTGTTAACATAGCACTTACTGTATTTTTCCTCCAATACCTTTTCCTTTTTTATATGTAAAAAAATTCATTTCCCTCTCTGTATAAAGTCATTATATCCTAGAGCACTGGAGAAAAAGAAGATGCTCATAATTCCACACCCAAAAAGAACCATTCTAAACCGTTTTACTCTCTTGCTTTTTTTATTTTTAATATAATTTATTGTCAAGTAGCTAACATACAGTGTATACAGTGTTATTATTTTTTTAAATTATTTTTAAAGATTTTAAGTAAGCTCTACACCCAACATGGGGCTTGAACTTAAAACTCTGAGATCAAGAGATGTGTGTTCTACTGACTGAGGCAGCCAGGTACCCCTCTTCTTTTCTTTTCAAAGGTATTTGATTTTCTAGTTAAAACCTTGTGACTCAAAAAGAGCAGCAATCTCTTTATATCTAGGTGGTTAGCACATAGTGGGTATTTGGGAAATGTATGCTGAATCTCCTTGGTTGAGGCGAGCACCGATCCAGTGTTGACTTTATTTTGCTTAAAAAAATTTTTTTTAATTAATTATATCAGAGTTGCCTGGAAACTTCATCAGTCTACTTAGACCAAGAAGAAAGAAAAGATGCTTCTCTTAGTAACTAAAGCCCCTGCCCCTCCGGGGTCTCATTCTTTTCTTCTGACTCCTTTGTGTCTCTTCCTGTTTTTTTTTTTTTTAAGCCTCTTTGAGATATAATTCACTTGTCATAAAATTAACCTATTTAGAGTGCACAGTTCAGTGGTTTTAGTGTATTGACAGAGTTGTGCGATCAGCACCGCTACCTAATATTAGAACCTTTTCTTTCCCCCAGAAGAAACCCTACACCCAGTTAGCAGTCAAGCCTTGTTTCCCCTTCCCCAGCTCCTGGGTATTAGTCTACTTTCTCTTTTTATGGATTTGCCGGTTCTGGACATTTTAGGTAAATGTAATTGTACAATATGAAGCCTTTTGTGATGGATTATTTCATTTAATAAGGAAAGGAAGCATAATGTTCACAAGGTTCATCCATATTGTAGCATGCACTTCTTTTTATTGTTTCTTTCCTGTGTTTTCCTGTCTGCTGCTTCTTTACATTCTTTGAGACCTTTTAATGGTATATTTGTTCAAGTGGCTCCTGCCATTTGATATTTGCCTCCTTTACCAAAGCAGTGTTACATCTAACATATCCCTTTGCTTGGGGCCCCAAGGATCAAGTAACAACTATCTTAGAATTTGCTGGACTCTAAGGAACTGTGTATTTTGGTCTCATGTGATGAACATTTACACAGTAGGATGTTCAACTATTAGAAAGCAAGTATGTTTGAAGGTAATAATCTTACACACAGAGAAAGATATGCACACACATAACATTTCCAAAGACTAGATAGATAATCAGGAAAAGTAAAAGAACATTTCTAGATGAATCGGTCAAATACTTTATTAAAAAAGTGCCAACCTGCAAAGGAATTTTAATTAACTGGAGGAGGGATTGGAATCAACCAGGTTTTAGGAAATAGAGAAGTTACATGATACTCTAAATTGTGCTCACTTTTTGAGTATTATTAGGACCAAGAGAAATTGGTTCAAGATTTAGCTGGAGCTTTGAAGCCCAGCCCTCAAATCAGTGAGTGTCAATCACCTCAACGTATGCTGCCAGGAAGATCACTTAGCATTAATGGATTGTGAAATGGATCGGTGGGATGGTAGGATAATTCTTTGTTATGAGTTCTGTCTGTGTACAGTGGAGTTGTTTTCCTAATCAGAGGTCTAGGATATTTCTGTATCTAATCAACTCATCGCTTTTTCCTCTGCATATTATTAAAGCATTCATTAGCTTTCAGTAGCACTGCAGAAGTTGGCTTTGGTTTAAAATTGTGCCCATGGTAGAGGGAATGTTTCCACAAACCACTTAAAACATTATTAAGCTGTACTCTTTTCCCCCTCAGAATTTACTTAATCTCATTAAACCTAAAAAATGGCTAAGCAGTGGGTAGCATTTTCATTGTTTCTTGGTGAATCAAAACATGAAAAAGAATGCAAACATTAAGAGGTAATGAACATTGGATGCAATCTCTAATCTAACTTTTCAGACTTAAAGCAATATAAAATACTTAGATGTCATTATCTAAAATACTTATGATGGGGTTGTTTTTCCTCGATAAGAAATTAATTGGTAATAAATCTGTGTTAGCGTGTAACTGAAACTAAAAACAGACTGTACCAACTTAATTTGGCTTCAGGGATAAGATGGAAGCAGATGTTGGAATTAGCATTTTAAAATATTATCCCTGTAAGTCAGCATTTGGAGAGGAGATTGGTTGTGGAATTTTGCATGGGAAGTGGTAGAGTCACTCATCCAAGGTCTCATGGACTTGGCCTCTGGGGATCTCTGGGAGGTACACAAATAGCACTTAGAGACAGAACTCAACCAAGAATTATCCTAACATCTTAGTGGCCACAAATTTGCACTTCATCCATGAGCATGGGACATACTCATCTTCTCTGAATTATTTCAATTTTGACAGCATCTATGGCACCAATGTGAGCACTTAGCCAAAAGCCCAGGTGACTCAGGTAAGATGAGTTTCAGTCCTCTGTTGTGACATAATTGTGTTGTTATAGGCAAGTCATTTGACTTCTGGGATCACTTGTTTTCTTCTCAGTAAAAAGGGACGATTTGTAGCTGCCCTGCATACTTGACGAAGTGGAAAGCTCTGTGGGATAGTAAGAAACACTAGAGAAATAGAAGGTATATTTTAAACCAGTGAAATAGTAAATGTTATAGATACAATCCCCAAATATCAGTTTTCTCTAAGAACATTCCTTAGGAATTCATCCTAAGAAAACAATCAAAGGAATATATAATGTTCATTAGAGCATTACTGGTAATGGCAAAATATTGGGAGTGTCGAAATAATGTCCAGCAATAGGGGACTGGCTAATTAAATTATGTTATGGCTATACTGTACCTTTATGAAAATCCATGACATGTTGTGAAGGAAAAAAATGACAGGTTACAAAGCACTATAACCGATGGTTATATGGCCCCAATTTTTGGCTTTGTGAAAATAAAGTAAATATATAGGAAAAACTGTGTGTAGATAAAACATTAACAATGATTATTTCTGAGTAGACGGAAAGAGATGATTTTTGGGGGGAGGTGACTTTGTGTATTCTTAAAGTTTGCTATATAAAGAACTTACAACTTTTTATTAGAAACATATAGTTATGTAATCTCTCTTTCTCTCTCTTTCCCTCTTTCCGTCTTCCCATTTTATTGATTCTCAACCTAGGCATTTTCTCTCTACCTTTCCTTCTTTACCCTCCATCCCAGTGAATATTTGGCAATATCTGAAGTTATTTTTGGCTGTCATGACTTAGAGGTACTATTGACATTTAGTAGGTAGAGGCCGGGGATCCTGTTAAACGCCCTGCAGTGCCCAGGGTGCCCCCCACCCCCAATGATTATCTGGCCAAAATGCCAATAGCACTCAGGTTGAGAAAACCTGTGCATGCCAATCCTAGGTCAGACTTCTGTTGTTGGTCTCACACAACCCAGGAGAGCCTTCCATGGTGGTCTCTGTAGGTAACACTGTCATCTTACTTTCTTCTTTTCATAGGATCTTTTCCATCCAGCCTATGGAATCTTGCCTTGTCTGGAAGCTAGAGGGGAGGCTATTTTTCCCAGTCTATTGTTCAAGATACACTGTGGCTTTTTGATATTCAAAAACTTGGCTTCTGGGGCTTAGAAACCCTTTCAAAACTATTATCTCCAGCATGGGTTTCAGCGGCCTATTTTGAAACTCATAAGCCATGGCTTTGTGTCTTTGTTCTCTGAGTTTTGCTTTGGTACATTTTCCCCTAGGGTTGTAAGCATACAAAGTTTATGCTCGAATTTATTGCGGGTGAGGGTGGAAAGTAGGGTCATGGACTAAAAGGAAGTACAAGGGAATATTTTAAAAATCATCTCAGCACATGTATTTACTCCTTAAAATTTATGTCAGTGTGTGCTAATAATACAGAATACAGTGCTGACATGATGAATCATACTTTACTTTTTATTTGTTGCTCTTAAAAATCTTATTAAAATGTTAGAATGTTCTGAATTCACCAGGGGCAAAATCAACTCAGTGTGGAACCTTGTTTATCATGACTGGGTGGAAGTGTCGCCTAGGGGGTCGTGGTATTCAACCTGACACCTACTTTTTGCTATTCTCTGTCTCATTCTCTTCAGCCTGGCTCTATATGCCTATGTTAATTTGCAAGATTTACTTAGAAATTCATGTGTAAAAGGGAGATTCTCTTGAAGTTTTCAGGCTGGATAAAATGTGAATATATGCAGCACAAGCATGGGAGAAAAAGTTCCAGGTCCTACAAAACAAACAATTTGAAGTTTGTTTCATCTTGCATCCCCTAGAAACATGAGCACTGTTACCTCCACAAATTCTACCCCAACCTCCCTTTTCCTGGGAGAGTACATAACGTGTTGAGCCTTGCTGAGAGTGAGCGCTAATAGACGAGGGCTATCACAGCTATTCCCTACCTGTGATCCTTCCCTCAGCACCCTCATGCCCTTTCACGGCTTTAGGGATGCCTCCAGGAGTCTAAGTAGATAGATGATTTCCAAATCTATGCCCCCAGCCCAGCTCTTTCGATGCCTCTCAAGGTTCTGAGGCATCTTGCAGTGCGGGGAAAGCCTA